GAAGAAGAAGAAGAAGAGGAAGAAGACTTGGTCAAGGGAGCTGCGGGTTGAGATTTCAGGGGCCCCGGCTGAGTGCAGGCCCACCCGGCCCCGGGGGCTCGCTGTGGCCGCACAGGGCGCGCACCTGCTCTCGCGTGCGTCTGCTCTCGCGCCGCGCCGCCTCCTGGGCCGGCCCCACATTCGGACGAGGCCACCGGCCCCTGCACCGAGGCGCGCCCGGAGCGCCCGGGATGCAGCGCAGCCTTCAGCGGGGCCGCGCGCTCGAACTGCAGGGCGGAGAGGCAGCCGGAGAAGCCTCGAGCGCCAGCCTGCTTGGTGTCTTCATCCACGTGGCCGCCGGGCTCTGCGGGAGACGGCGCGGTTAGTGGGGTGCACGTGGTGGGCGGGCGGTTAATGGGGCGTGTTTGTGGGGCGTGGGGAGTGAGCGCACGTAGTGGGCACGGTATGGGGCAGGGACAGGCCAGGAGCGTTACTGAGCACGTGTAGGTCGTGTCTCCAAGCAGTTTGTTCTTACCTGAAGGGTCGCTGCTCCCGCTGTGGTCCCCCCTCCTCAACCCCGGGCTCCGCTCAGTTTACAGATGAGCATCAGAGCAATCCTGTGGGGGCTTCCTCCATCACCTCTGTGGTTTGGCCGGTGGTTGCGGGTTTCTGCTCAAGTTCCAGCATCAGTGGGGACTCAGCTGTGCTTGGGGTCATCCACCGACTCTGCAGCTGCAGTCCCCACAGCTGCTCCCAATTCAGACCTCGTTCTTCCGAGTGTGCGCGAGCAGCGCCTGTCCTTTGGACATCTCCATGTTGCACAGACAGTGGTGGGTGTTCCGCCCTCTCTCTCCCTCTGTCAGAGCCCCTGGGGTGTGGGGTTGTATTTCCGGGATGTGACACCCTGGCTGGCAGCGTCACTACAAAGATCCTCAGCTGCCTCTGCTCTTGGATGCATCCTGCCGGACCCCTGGAGACAAGCTCAGGCGCCTCGGTGTTGCAGGACCCACAGCCGGGCCTTCTCCGTGCTGGTCCAGGTTCCCTCCAGCCCAGGAGGAGATGCCCACAGGAGTTGGCTCATCCCTACCCTGCCTGCTAGCTCGCCAGGCTGACCTAACAGTCGTGCCACAAGAGGCCCAAACAGGCATCTTCCCTACTGATGCCCTGAGCTGCACCATGAATGCTTTCTTTAGCTTTAACCTTTTTCATCCTTAATGTGTCTTTTGCGTGTGCACATACCTGCCCTATATGTGTGTGTTTTCATAGAAATGTGCACACGAAGCTCTGTTGGCCATCCTCAGTGTCGTCTGCTCTCCTGAGAGACCAGGCTGATGACAGGTGCAGTGGGGAAGGGCCCCAGGGAGGGAGAAGGGGGAGTGGTGGGCAGTGACCACCTGTGAGAGTCGGCCAGTCAGGGCTGGGGCGTGGGCGTGGGGCCCCGGCATTTACTCTGCTCTGTGACTTTAGGGAGAACTGGCTGCGTTATTTTAAATTTTGCTATTGTACAATCTTTTCTCTCAAGAACAAACTCTAAATCCAATTCTTGAGACAAAATCAAGTTTCTGAAATCTCAGGTTGTAGAACTCCCAGCCATTTAGATTCTTAGGTAGTTTTGCCTGTTTATCAGTTAGCTGTGTGTTTCCTGAAAGCAGCAGCTCCCACTGTTCTGAAGAACAAATCCTTCCAGAAATGGTCTGGAAGAAAAACCAGGTTGTAGGCCTTGGAAGTCGTGTGGAGAGCGTGCTCTGGGAGGAGAGTTTCTGGAGCGCGTGATTACAAAGGCAGCAGCTGAGGCTTCCGGCACCCCCTCCACCAAAGCCTAGCCAACAAAAGACTGAGGGGTTCTGCTCATGGGCATTAAAGTGGAAGGAAAAAATCGGACACAAAACACACACACGGCACCGCCCTTCCCTGTTAAGTCTGGAGACGTGCGGGCTATGTCTGTGCTGCTCCCGGCTGGGGACCCTCCGGGGGTTGCTGGACACTAGTCACCTTCTCTTCTTGATCAAACTGAGTTCCCTTTGTCCAGGTTCTCCCAGCTGTGTACTGAGAATATTACACTTTTCTCTGTGCATGTCATACTTAATGGGTTCAGGAAACACGGCTGTCCTAACGGACCTACGGTTAAACGGAGACATCTGGAACGCATCAGAGTACCGTTTGCTTGGAGCCATGAAACTCCAGGGACAGTAGGCAGACTGTCTCACAGTTCTGAAGATACCTCTGGGTATCTGTTATCTCAAATGGCTAGTTGTTTATATTATACGATTTAATTTTTGAGAAGAATCTTAGAAATAATCTACCCTGATTTTTACTTATTCTGTGAAAATTTAGATAATCCATGGAAGCACCTGTCACTGCTCTGAGTGCTCCTAACAGCCTCTGAGACACGGTTTACCTGATTATCCCATTTGACAGATGAGTAACCAGAGCCCAGGGAGGGCAGGTAGCGGGCCCCACACCAGCAGACAGAGGAGCTCGGGCTTCCCGGCCACAGCTCCCATTTGGGCCGAGGAGACCGGGGGAAGTCCCTGTGCCCAGGGCACACTCTCAAGACCATCCTCCACATCCTCTTGCACCCTCTCCATGGGGTTTCTTCTGAAGGAGCTGATGGGGCTCAGTCGTTCGCAGTGTGCGGGAGGCAGGCTCCACGGACACCTGAAGGGGCAAGGTCGGCGCCTGCTCATGGTGCCACACACCGCCATGGGGCACCCTGGGCTTGGAGCGTGACCATCCTGGGCTGGGACCACTGTAGACCACATTTTTCGTTACTTCAACGTCCCGGAGGGGAGACCGCCTTTCCTTCCAAAGAATTAGTCTTTTCTTTGTCTGCACTTAGATTTTGCTGTTTGTTTTATGGCTCATGTACTGAGCATGGACAGCGTCCTGATGACCAATATTCCTCAGTGTCACCTACTTAACACTCTGACTAAGGGAGAGCGTTTTCAGAGCTTCCGTGCGTCATGCGCACATTCTTGATCATATTCAGAGCTACAAAATCTGAGATCTGAAGAGTTGACTTTTAAAGTCTTCTTACTCTGAAATGATCATATGGAATCTGAGAAAATGTGACCAGAGCGTGTACCATCAAGTGAAGCCCGTCAGAGAGGTAACACTTAGATGCGTATTTTAACCAACGAGGACCCTGGACGGTTCTGTCTGGGGTACCCCAGTGCACACGAGGATGACTTGGGTCGCCGGATGGGGACACTGCCGCTAAAATCCACACTGGGAGACACTCACCCAGTGTTGGCGGAGGGAAAGGTTGAAGCAGGAACTGGTGGGCTCCGGGAGAAACACTGGCACCTCCCCTCGGTGTTGGACGCGTCTCTGGGAGTGAGTGCCCTGTGGCCCACCTCGGGAGCCCTTGTAACCAGGCACCTCATGCTGCCCGCCCAGAACACAGAGCTTGCAGAATGCTTTGGAAGTTTTATTCGGCTTCTGGCAAGACAAATCTTCAAATAAAAATCAAGACGTGGGAAGTGTCATTAGACCTTGGTCAGAATCTGTGCCCTCGGGCATATGGTAAATGAATTTTTATTTCAAATTTCATGACTCCCTGTTGCTTCAGCTGTAAACTCCACTGCTTGGCCTGAGCATCAACTGTACTTTAGAGCCTGAATAATACGCTGATGGACACGGAATTCGTGTGGAAGCATCAGTACATTCCGTTCCGCCCCAAAGTTCTTTACCCACGTGATTGAAGGGATGTACTGCATATTTCTTTCATTCACTGAGCTCTGTGTGACCTGGGCCACTTCCCCGGTTGGTCAGACAACACTTTGCTACGTCACGGGGCCTCTTTGCCCACTAACTTCAGTGTTGTTTTTGAACATAAGGTGTATTTTTAAAAATAACTCTTGTCAACGTTTTTAAACAATGCTTAATGTGTATGAACTTTGTTAACTTATTTGCATACTCCGTGTTTGAGCTTAGGCTGTGGAGTTTTGAGGACAGGAATTTGTGTGTTTTGGGGCCACGTCTGCATAATAGCTGCAGTAATTTATTGGACATTGGCGGTCAATACGTGTTCTCTCAATGGGTGATCGTTCAGCTCACTGGAAGAAGACTGCCTCCGACCCCCAAGCATGGAAAGCAGCAATTCAACAAAAATTTGGCCCGGGCTAGGGTCACAGAGCCTGGACATCTCTGGGATTATCAGATGCTCGCTTAGTTCAGGCAAAACCAGTAACTAGCCACAGGGCCAGGGGACGAGCTCAGTGGGGCACGGGATGGGGCCTGGGTCGCTCCACCTCCCACACAGTGGGGTCCCTGGGGCCAGACAGCCCCCAGCTGGGGCTGTCGAGCAGGAGAGGGTGGGACAGTCCGTGGGCTTTTGATTGTTTAGGATTAAAGACTGATTTGGTGCCACAGTTGGAAAATGGAATAAAATGCAAACTGCTATCAGGGAGGAAATGAAAGTCCATGTGTTAGCCAATCTCCCCTCCGCCCTGCGGACTGCGAAGGACAGGCATCACACACACCAGTGGCCGTGCGCCCCGCTCGACCACGCCAGCGTCTGACGGATGCCCCAGTTCCAGCAGGTGCAGAGCTGGGCCTCACCTGCCCTGCCCCCCCTCAGGAGTGCTCCCACCTCCCCTCCTGCCCTCCCTATGCTGCCAGCGTGGGTCATGGCCAGCATCTCCGATGGGGCCCGTCTCCCTCGCCCCAGCAGCAGGGTCGGACCACGGACTCAGCAGCGCCACGTTTCATGGGAGTAAAGTCAGTTCTTGGACTGTGGTGCCCACAAGACCCTATGTGGTCTGTTCTCCCCAACCCCTGTCCTGGAGCCCAACACTCAGTCACATCCAGCCCGAAGCTGTGGGTGACTCTCCCCTTCTTCAAATGTTTGTCCACTTCTCAAGTCCTCTGCAGTGTGGATGCTGTGTCCACGCTGCAGTGTCCACGCTTGTCCTGTACACGTGCCCTGTGTCCTGGGACCCTCCTGCTAGGGCGTAGCCACCCTGGGGCGGGGTCTTCGTCGTGTGTTGACCACCTGGGATGCTCTGAGGTCAGTCAGTGATCATCGGACTGTGGGCTTGGGATGAGAAACAATGACTCTGCTTTGTTGTTGGTGTGTTCTGTGGGAGCCCCGGCCCTGTTCCCGAAGCGTGGACTGGACACCATCAGGGCTCCACACGCAATCTGCTTATCCGCTACGGGATCATCAGTGTTTTAACCAAGTGTTCAGAATCGCCATTTTAAATCAACTTTGTCATTATAGATTTATCTTGAAATTAAGTTTTATATGTATGTATAAAATATATGTGCATTTATGTAAAATTTGCCTTCTCATATAATGCAAGTTTAACTGAAAAATTATATATGTATTATATATATATAATATTCAAACCAGGCTCTATCTATCTGGCTCGGTTTGGATTTTCGATTAAACTTGCACTATATAAATAGGACTTTTCACATGTTACTTTTCTTCTATTAAATAGAACCTGTTAGAACATTACAATTCATGACATTTTCAATGTTGACTGAAGAATGGGAATGCATCCTTTTAATGCCCAACATAGTGTTGGAAAACATATTAACTCATTAACACAGAGTTAAAAACCTAGCTATCATCCTCTTCAGTGATTTATACTTTTATCGTCTACCCATGTGTACACTCGCATGCTCAGGACTTTGAAATTACATATGAGGAACATGTGAAAGACTCAGGAATATAGATACAAAAAGGAAGCAATGGAAAAATCATTACCTTGGATAAAGTCTATCCCGTTAGTGTCAAAACAAGACGAGGGATAGGAAACAAACTGGAGACCATTTCCCAAAGTAATATGTGAAAATCCATGGTGTTTACAGTTCATAACTAAAAAGCAAGCCTTCCTAAGTCTTACCTGCTTTCACCTGAATACCTGGGGATGGGGGGGATGGAAAGCGTGCCCACCCAACTCCTAGATGCCACTGCTCTGCAGTGATGCCCAGGCTGTGGCCGAGGAGACCAGGCTGCATGAAACGCTGTTCTGGTGAGCGTGGTAGCCAGGCAAGGAACATCCGTGCACCACCGCCCGGGCACCATCATGAGCACACGGACCACAGACGTGTGCTCTCTACAGACCTCCTTCACACGTCATCCTGGGTAGGGCTCTGGACCTATGAACTCTGTTTCTGTTTGGACCGATATCCTTCAGTACAGTTTGAGGTCAGAAAGTCTCCACAGTCCTTGTGCTAACGACAGAACAAGGAACAAGCGTGTGTAGCTGTTCTCAATGCTATTTGCTTGCTTGTCTGTGGGAAGTGTGTTCTCATGATTATGGGCAACCCAGATCCAGTAGGGTTTCTGCCTTGATCGGCATGAATGATCTAATGAAAATAAAACAAGGAGCTTGCTTCTGTGTTAGTGGCATGACACTGTGACCCAGGGAGGGGGCACGGGGTGGGGAGCTCTGCGTCTACTTGCCTAAGATCTTGCCCAGCATGAGGGATTTGACAGCGTTGAATTCTGTGCCAGACGACAGGCTCACTTGGCTCCGGGCTTTCTGGTCCACCTGCCTCACGAGAAGCAAACACCAACACATCTGTCAGTTGTCAGTGACATGGCAAGAAGCAAAGGGAGGTCATGGAATGGAAATGATCCACTAGAAAAGGAACATAGGGTTACACCTGATGGAAAAAACCCATGTTAAGAAACTCGTCATCTGACAGTGGAGTGCTAGTTCATGAGCAATTTTCATGGTGTCTCAGATCTCCGTTGCCCACCCCCACCCCCTGCCCCCTGTGTTCTGCATGGCCCTTATCACTTCCTGACACAAGATGAATGACCTGTATTTGGTAGAACCCACAAAAAATGCAAACATCCAAAGCTTTTACATATCTCAAAATAAAACCTAAAGAGTAAAAGCCAAAGTAGGTTATTCCATGTAGAGAGCAAATACACTAATGTTTTTCTTCAAAAGTGCTGACAGTATGTAATTTCACTTACTCTACAATGACTCGAGTCTATTTTGTTAGTTATGCACATTTTAATCATAATTGTATTTTATATAAATCATATCCTTAATTGTCATAACATTTGTACTCCTGTGGATTCCCACAGGAGAATCATTTACAAATACTCCACCTGTTAACCACAGACAACATTTCATAACAAGTCAATTAAAATAAATGAGGGAAAATTTAAGTAATTAAATTTTATACTGTATTTGGCAGGTTTCCATTACTAAATAAATAAAAATCCTGGACTATGATTTCTTGTGTGCAGCACATGAGAGATTAACATAGAGAAGGAACCTTTGTATTATGCTTCATTATCAAAATATTACTGTAAGTGACACATAGCAGGTGGGGAAGTAGGAGGTTAATTACTGTTTGGCTGATGATGCTCTTACCTCTACGAAGACCACTCCTTCCTCTCTGTTGATCTTCATGTGGTGAAGGTGCCCATCTGCCATATTCTTGAAGTTAAAGTTAAAGACATCAGGATCCTGATGTAGATCTAACTTGTACCTAATCTGCAAACTACCTAGAATAGAAAAATATAGGATATTTAAACAACAAAATGTTTTAAAAGCTGCCTTTCTATACTCTGGAGAAGTGATTATTATTCCGTTGCTTCTAGGAACAACATTTTGTGCTTTGAGTCTATTCACGGTTCATGTGAAGCATCTTGCTGGTCTCCATTCTGATGACACCATTTTTAACTCAAGATAAGGTGTTAATAAGAGTGCTCTTTCCCACAATTCTCAATTCTCTGAAAGAAAGCACCCACTCTATCACATGCTAATGTCTGAAATCTGCTCCATCTTTGCAAAAGGAGCATTAAGGAATGCTGAAGCTTCTGTCTTCCTCGTCTGGTCTTCTTTGGTCTTATTTCCCAAATCCGAAATGTGAGTTACAAGAGAGTGTGGCTGGTCCTGGGAGCTGTCATGCAGCCAGGGGCTATTGGAGGCCTGAGGGGCCACGGAAGATACTGCAGATGGTGAGGCTGACCAGTGGGAAGTGAACTCGACCAAAGGCACCCCTAGAGTTAATGCTCCTTGCTTTCTCACTGGTGGGGAGCGCACTGTGCCCTTCCCAGGGTTTCTTCCCACGAGATGATGAAATGTTCCTGCCATTCAGGTGGTTTGTAGCTTAAGTCTGCCACCATTCTTACTTGGGGTCATATTTGAGATGCTTGGCAGCATGTTGTTTATTTTTGTTTTATATAAACAAATTGTTTATGCACACACTGGAGGTTTTATTTCTAAAATCTGCAGGCATGATGCAGAAGTGAAATATAGTAATAAGCTCTTTGTAGGACACAAGATCCCTATGGCTCAGTGTGACCTGCTCCACAAAGGTGCAGCTTCATGCTTCTACCCATCACATGGACTCTGCCCAAATCCTGCCAGCCAGAGAGATTTGCAAGTTTTCCCAGATATTGAATTAGTGCCCTGACTTTCTATTTGAAATGCCTAAAGCTGTGCTTTATTTTCCCACTGGAAGCATAGTTGTTGGCTGATTGGTGTGATTGTACCTTCCATTTTCAGTGGATATGGAAAATTTAACCTCAGAACCACGGACAGAGTAAAAAACCAAGGTTTATCTGGTGCTCATGGACAGTCATTTTTGCATGACCTTACTGTGTTAACACCCACCTTAATTCTTCTTCCCTTTGCTTAGAAGGAGGAAATATTTTCTACATATAACTAGACACATTATACTTCCAATGAAGAGCTTCCAGTGATAATAACATTTCTGTTTACCTGAGATAATGCAAATTCATAAAAAATTTTCTAGAAGAATCTTAATATAATTACTGAAATGATACATCTGAAACAATATTTTTGCAGTTCTGGAAAACAAAGCAAAATAAAACAAACTGGCATTTGCAGAGTATGAAAATTTTTCCTTGTTTCTAATCTGAGAGGCTTGGACACTGAACACTCCACCCGTACAGTATTAACGACACAATTTACATTTCTAACACTCAAATGAGACTCACCATTTTTGGCCAGGATAACAGAGAGGTATTCATTGTAGAAGGAGTCCACGTAGAGCAGCAAGCTCGGGGTTTGCAGTGTTTGGAAACTGAATGTGATCATCTCTCTAGCTAAAACCATGTCCCCATGAAATGAAGCAGCATGGGGGCTGGAGTTTGTACTTAACGGATAAAATTCATGAAAATTGTAAGTCACTGAGGACCCAGCTCCAAAGTGTGCAGAAATCTCTGAAATGATAGGCATATGTTTATGTTAGAAAAGATTGAGGGCTAATTTTAGGTATACTTATGGACATTTGAAGTATTCTAATTTCTAGGACATTTTAATCAATAAAAGAGCAGAGAATGATGTAACAAGCATTCACACATCTCAGAAATGAATAGCACGGTTGGTTGTTGGGGCTTTAGGGCAGCACTCAGTAAGTGGGAGCATTAAAACTACCTCTGCTCCTTCCTCAGTGGAACGTGGCCTAAATAGGCACAGACATCTGCTTGAGCTTCTGTTTCCTTCCTGCATTTTCCTTGGTGTTAGTTTTTTGCTTTGCAGGTAGCAGTCTCACCCAGCAATGATGAAAGGTAGAAGTGGAAGGCCACTTGCCCACCAACGACCACCACCAAGTGTCAATATTTTACAGGAAAAGGAAAGCTGTGTCGATGGTATCACTGTGAACTTGAGAGAAGGAAGTGGTGCAGGGGCCAGAAACTGTCCAAGATCCTCCCTAAACAGTTTATGAGAGTGTGTCCTTGGCCTTCTACATAAGATGGGGCCCTACATGTATGTGTGCATGTGGCTGGGGGCAGGGCATGGGTGGTTTAGCTGTTGGGCGTCTGTGCATCTCCATGGCTGCAGCAGGTGCCCCCCTCCCAGCATGGCCATCACATCACCACCTCGCACACCCACTCCCAGACCACCTCAGAGTTGTTCCCTGCTCACTCACGAGGTCAGCCTCTAAGGTAATGTTTGCCTGCAAGAGGACCTTCAGGTTGCACTTAGTGGATATGGATAGAGAGCCATACAGAATGGGAAAAATACCTTTTTAGTGGAGCTCAATGAGGTATAACTAGGGGCAATAAACACACCCACTTAAAATGTAAAATTTGCAGAGTTTTAGGAGATGAGCACACGCAAAGCATCATCCACAGTCCATATTCAGAACATTTCCAATTTTCTTCTGCCCTTTACACTTCTTGGCCGTCAGTTTCTTCCTTAGGCCCCATGCTCAGCAACCACTGATTTGCTTTCTGTTACTCTAAATTAATTCTGGAATTTCATATTAATGGAATCATACATTATGTTTTTTTATTTTTTATTTTTGCCTCAAGTTAATATTTATATAGAGTGTGGGTTAAGTGTCAACCCATTTATGGATTCTCTATTCTTTTCACCATAACTTATTCTTTTTAAAATACTTTGGAAATCCAAGGCCTTATGCATGTCCATATAAAATTTAGAATTAATTCACAATTCTGCTGAAATTTTGAAGGGAGCGCTAAATCCATAGATCAATTTGGGGATAAATGATATAGTAATAATAATGAGTGATCCAGTTCATCAACATGGTATATTCATCCATTTCTTTAGATGTTGATTCCTTTTAGTAATTTTCAGTGTAGAGATCTTACACTTATTTGTTCTATTTATCTGTAAATATTTCATTTTTTTGGATTCTATTGCAAATACAATTTTATTTTTAAATTTGTCCCAGTTGTTCATAACTAGTACATAAAAATTAAGTTGAATTTTATAATAGTGACTTTGTATTCTGTGACCTTACTAAACTCCCTCATTAATTCTAGTAGGTTTTTGTGAACTCTCTATATTTTATATAGATAATTATATCCTCTATGATTAAAGAGAGTTTTATTTCTTCTTTCTAATGTGTACAATATTTATGTCCTTTTCTTGTCTTATTGCAATGGCTAAGACTGCAAGAATTTTGAAAAGAAGTCATGGGAATAGAAATCTTTGCTTTCTTCAGTCTCATAGGGAAAACATTCTGTCTTGCACCACTAAATATTTTAGTGATATGATGTTAGGTATCCTTTGTTGGGTTGGGAAATTTACCTTATATTCTTAGATTTCATAGTGAATTTTGTCAAATGCATTTTCTGTATATTTTGAAACTTATCTGTTTTTTTCTCTTTTATTCTGTTGATATAATGACTTTCTTGAGATTTTTTTAAAAACTTAAATCAGCATTGTACCTTTTGGATTAATCCCACTTATTCATATTTTTTTCTATTGTTTGATTTGACTTGCTCATTTTGTATTAAGTGTTTTTGTGTCAGTATTCATGAGTATATTTCTGTAGTTTTTTTGTTTGGTTGGTTTCTTGTAAAGTCTTTGCTTGGTTTTAGTGTCAGACTTAGAAGGCTCATGGATTGCATTAAAAACATTCTCTCCTCCTTTCTGTCCTCTAACAGCCTGCATCAGACTGGAATTATCTTTTCCTGTAGAAATTACTAGCAAATACCTTCTGGTCCTGGAATTTTCATTGTGGGAAGATGTTTAATTACAAATTCAATTTTTGTGGTAGTTATAGGTTATGGGGATTTTATATCTATTATGCTTTGTTTTAGTAATTTGTGTCTTTCAAGAAATGTGTCCATTTAATATAAGTCGGGAAATTTATTGTCATAATGCTGTTCATAATATTTCATTTTTATCCCTTTAATTTTTGTAACATCTGCTTTGGTATCTTTTATTTTTAACACTTATAATTTGTGTCCTTTTTCCTTTTTTCTTGAGAATCTAGTCAGAAATTTATCAATTTTAATGATCTCTTCTATGAATTAGCTTTTAATTGCATTGATGTAGTTGTATAATGTTAGTGATTTCAATCATGATTGCATTGATTTTTCTTGTCTATTTTTTATTTCATTAGTTTCTGCTTTATCTTTATTATATCTTCTACTTTCTTCAGATTTCATTTTGTTCTTTCTTTAAATTCCTAAATTGGAAACTATGTAATTGATTTTATACCTGTATTGTTTTCTAATAAAATAATTTAAAGTCATAAATTTCCCCTTAAGTAATACTTTAGTTGTATAACTCAAATTTTAATATGGTATATTTTTATATTTAATTAAAATATTTTTAGTTTCATTTATGAGTCCTTTGACTCAAAGATTGTTTGGAATTAAAATATTTAATTATTGGTATTGTCAGAGGATTTTGAGACTCTTCAAAATTTTTTCATTTTTTTCCCTCTATTCTTCCAATTGAATGATTTTTATTGTCTTATTGTCAAGTTTATAGGTTCCTTCCCCTGTTGAGCTCATCTGGCTATAATTATTTTTTAAAATTTCAGTGATTGTATTTTTCTGCTCCAATATTCCTATCAGTTTTTTATATGGTTTTCATTGGTCTGTTGAAGTTGCATTTCTGTTTATTTGTTGATGACCTATTTTCTTTGTTTCTCTGAATTTTATTCCCTTTGATGAATATGTTATAATCACAACTTGATGTCTTTGTCTGATGAAACCAAAATAAATAAATAAATAAATAAACTTTTAAAAAAGTCCCTCTTCAGAGTTAATTCTTATTAACTACATTTTTTCCCCGGAGTATGCAACATAATTTCTTGATTTTTTTTTTTACATGTTCAGTACTTTTTGAAAACTCGACAATGTCGATAACTCATTGTAAGTGTTCTTAATTTTGTTGGTTCTTGTTTCTGTTTTTCTGTGGTTGCTGCTGCTTGCCATTTGTTGCAGTGGACAGACAGCATGCCTGTACGCCCACTTCAGTCCTGTCTCCCCAGGCAGGCGTCCCCTGCATCTCTGCAGTTGGGCCACCTCTGGAGGTCTTCCTGAGTCTGCACACGTGCATCCCCACCAAGGGTTTAGGCAGAGACCACGTGCAAATCTGGGCGTTCATCCAGTCTGGTCTCCTTGTGTCCAATGCTCGGCTTCCCTTCCCTGCAGCTGAGCTGCTTCCCTGGGGCTCTGGGAGCAGAGTTGGTGTGGCCACTTGACTCTGTTAATGTGACTGCAAGTGCCCATTTGGATTTTACCTGTGAAGGTGAAGCATGTCCTGAAATGGGGGTACTGATTACACATTTATCTTCAAATACCGCTTCTGTGACTGTGTTCTGGCCATTTCCAGGCAGCTCATTCTTTTGAAAATCAAGAACTGGTCCAATTTGGTTTCCAAGTTTGTGCTCCAAAACCTGGAGGCTTTTAAGGTCAAAAGGCAACAGCTCAGAGATTCCCGAAAGGAGGCATTGGAATTTATTTTGGTGATAATGGATTTTATTTGGATTCTGTGAGTATCTGTGAAAGTATAAACCTCATAAGTGCCTTCCAAGAATTATGTCTGTGCTACAATTAAGCTCTGACATTTCAGCGAATGGCTTGTGACCTCTCAGAATGAGACTAAAAAGATTCTGTCATTTTCACTGAAACAAGAGGCCATCAGTAAACCTCGGAGCAAAATGTTTAAGAGGCTCTATTTCAGCCGTCTTAATACAAGTGGGAAATGTATTTATTATGCTAATAAAATGCATTTTTGGAGGAAAATTCTTCCCATACAACTTGAAGCCACTACTTTAAATAATAATATTGAAATAAGCAGGGCTGCCCAGGACAGACTTCTAATAACGTATCATGCTAGAGCAGAGGCGTGAGGCAGAAGGACTTAGGGTACACAGACAGTATTTCAAGAAGACCACAGAACTGGTGTTAGATTTCACAGTTGTTGGCCCTGGCTTTTCAAGAGTAGAGTCACACTTCTTTCCAATAAAAGGAGATTAGCTGCAAAAGAGTGATTTACAGGAGGAATTTAGGAACTGAAACACGTTCATCAAACAGTGGCACAGAAGAGGTTTCGTTCAAGATTTACACTCCCCAGGCCGGCCGGCTCCTTCCTGGCGGCGCCTGCACTCACACTCACCCTGCGTGCAGAAGGGCCCTGAGAAAGCGGAGAGCTCGCAGTCACAGGAGAACCCCCGGGGCCTCTCCTGGCAGCGCCCTCCGTGGTGGCACAGACTCCCGTAGGTGCTGCAGTGGCCCGGACAGCCGGGCTCCACCCCCGGGGTGACCTGTGCCCTCTCCTCCAGGTCCAGCGCCTTCCCATTCAGCTGCAAGGACCGGATGCACCCCTGGAAGCCTCTCTGTTTGGTGGCCGTGCCTCCTGAAACAGAACACAGGACACGGTGCAGACGCCGTGCAGGTAGGGCTTCACGGGAAGTCGTAAAAACTGTGACTTCTCAAACACCTTTACGGACAAGTATAATTTTCAAAATGTAAATTTTGACACAGTTGGGAGATATTCAAGAACACTGAAAAAACTTTTTTTAAAAAACTTGACTTTGCTTAATGTTTATTCTAAACGGATTCCTTGTTCGTTAACTGAGCGATTTATCTTTAAGTTAGTTTTATTAGACTCTAGAACGGGACTTAACAAAACATCAATACTATTGTAATGATGATAATGTAATGTGGTGGAAATTGATATGATTAGCTAAAACGTAAGAATTTTCCTGGGCGCCTGGGTGGCTCGGTTGGTTGGGCGACTGCCTTCGGCTCAGGCCGGGGTCCCGGGGGTCTGGGGGGCGAGCCCCGCGTCGGGCTCCCTGCTCGGCGGGGGGCCGCTTCGCCCTCGGACCCTCCCCCCTCTCATGCGCGCGCGCGTGCGCTCCCTCTCTCAAATAAATAAATAAAATAAAATCTTAAAAAAAATCAAATGTAAGAATTTTTTTAAACATAAAAACCCAGATGTCCGTTTATGGCAGTAGTGGAATAATGGGGGACTGGGTTTGCTCCCCCACCTTGAAAATAACTTAAAAAACCAGAACGGTGTGAAACAACAGTTCCGAAGGCACTGGGCATTGGACATAAATGGCGGTCACCCCTGGGCGCGAGGAAATAACTAGCCAAGCTCTCCCATCACCCCAGCCTTCTGCCTGGGGAGTTTGGGGGCCAGTGCCACTCGGCTCCTCAGATGGACTCTGCAGGTCTGCAGAGGGTCCCACCTGAGCGGCGAACTCAGCACTCTCCCCCACCTTCTGTGAGGAAACAGTGGAGGCCAGGTAGGGGTGACCCAGAAGCCCGGAGGGTGTCCCACAGGACTGAGGTTCGGGCTGGGCTTGGGGTTAGGGCTAGGGTCAAGCTCCAGGGCTCCTGCAGGTCGGTGGGATACTGTCTGCTCCTAATAGTCACCAGCAAGCCACCACATTCAGGAGGCATCTCACGCAGAAGTTAAAATTTTTTGCCTCAGTAATGAGAAAAAATTAATCCCAGATTAAATCCAGTACTGAAAAAAAAAATCCTAAAAGCAAGACCACCAAAAACAATCAAACTCTTTCCATGTACATTAGTCTTGTTCCAGACCAAAGCTCAAGAACACATAAAGGAACACAAAATGTCCAGTGTCCAACAAGGGGAAGTTCACAAGGCCCAGCATCCAACCTAAAAAAATGGCAGACGTACGAAGAAGCAGGAATTAGTGAGCAATCATAAGAAGAAAACCCCATCAAGGGAAAGTCATCCAGATATGATATAGTTGGTAGGATTCACAGATGAGGATATTAACCCAATTATTATGACTGAATGTCATGTGTTCAACAAACTAGAGAAACAGTTGAACATTTTCTTTTTTTTTGCAAAAAATGGAATATATTGGGTGCCTGGGTGGCTCAGTTGGTTAACTGTCTGCTTTGGCTATGGTTATGCTCCCAGGGTCCTGGAATTGAGCCCCACGTCAGGCCCTCTGCTCGGCAGGGAGCCTGTTTCTCCCTCTGCTTGCCACTCCCCCACTTGTGCTCTCTCTCTCTGTCAAATGAATAAATAAACAAAATCTTTAAAAAACATGAAATATATTAAAAAGACTCAAATTGAACTCAAATTGTTGATTAAGCTTCAATTTGAAAATTACATTAAATGGGATTAATGACAGATTAAGTTTATCAGAAGTTTCCACTTTAATTTCTCAAGATTTTTTCATTTCCCTTTTGATTTCTTCTTTGAATGATGGGTTGCTGAAAAGCATGCTGTTTAATTTACACATATTTGTGTATTTTCCAATGTTTCCCCCTTTAGCAAAATATTAGCCAACTGAATTCAAGAGCACATGAGGAGGACCACGCATCAGGATCAGGGATGGTTCACCATCTGCACATCAGTCAACGTGGCATACCCCCTGATAGAATGAAGAATACAAACCACACAATTACCGCAATAGACATGGAAAAAGCATTTGACAAAATTCAACCCCCATTCATGATAAAAAAAAAACCTCAATAAATTGTACAGAAGAAATTGACTCAACATGAGAAAATCTACACAGGGCTAGCCTACAGATGACATTACGTTCAGCCATGAGAACCTGAAAGCTTTTCCTCTGAGGTGAGAAAGCACCCTCGCCACTTCTACTCAGCAGAGAGCTCGAGTCCCAGGCAGAGCAATGGGTGAAATAAAGAAATCAAAGGTATCCCAATAAGAAATGAAGAAGTAAATTTGTTTCTGTTTGCAGATGACATGATCTTATATATAAAACCCCAAGGATTCCACCAAAAAACTTAGAACTAATAAATGAATTCAGCAAAGTTGCAGGATACAAAAATCAACATTTAAAAATGGGTGTGTTTCTATATTTTAGCAGTTAACTATAGGGGGAAAATTGAGAAAACAATCCCATTTACAAGAGCAGCAAAAATAATAAAATGCTTAGGAATGAATTTAACCAAGGAAGTGAAAGATCTATACACTAAAAACTATAACAGACTGATGAAAGAAATTGAAAATGACTCAGCTAAATGAGATGATAGTCCATGTTCATGAATTGGGAGAATTAATTGTTAAAATGTCTGTACTACCCAAAGCAATCTACAGTTTAGGTGCAATCTCTGCCAGAATCCTAATGGTATTTTCACAAAGACAGAAATAAAAGTCCAAAAATTCATATATGCCACAAAAGACTCTAAATAGCCAAAGCAATCTTTAGATCAGCCCTTCTGATTTCACATTATGTGACACAGTAATCAAAGCAGCATGGTATTGGCATAAAGAGAAGTAAAATGACTACTGCAACAGAATAGAGAACCCAGAATTAAACTCACACAAATCATATGCACTCAAATAATCTTCAACAAGGGCACCAAGAATACAAAATGGGGAAAGGATGATCTCTTTAATAAATGGTGCCGGGAAACTATATCCACATGCAAAAAAAAAAAAATGTAATTGGACTCTTATTTTACGCCATAAACAAAATCAACTCAAAATGGATTGAAGGCTTAAATGTAAGACTTGAAACTATAAAACACCTAGAAAAAAACATAGGTAAAAAAATCGCTGACATTTGTCTTGGCAATGATTTTTTGTAGGACACCAAAACAAAGAAAGACACAAAAGAAAAACAAGCAAACTAAAAGCTTCTGCACAGCAAAGAAACAATCAACAAAATGAAAAAAGCAACCTACGGAATGGGAGCAAATATTTGTAAAACATATATGGTAAAGGGTTAATATCCAAAATACATAAGGAACTACTACCACTTAAGAGCAAAGTACCAAATCACCTGAGTATATAATGGGCAAAGGCTCTGAGTAGACATTTCTCCAAAGAAGGCATACAGACAGCCAACAGATATATGAAAAGGTGCTCAACCTCACTCATTATCAGGGAAGTGCCAAACAAAACCACAATGGTATATCACCTCACACCTGTTAGGATGGGTATTACTGAAAAAACAAGAGATAACAAATGTTGGTGAGGATGCGGAGAAAGGGGAACCCTCTTACACTGTTGGTCGGAATGCAAACCGGTGCAGCCGCTCTGGAAAACAGTATGGAGTTTCCTTAAATAGTTAAAAATAGAATTACCATGTGACCCATTAATTACTCTTCTGGGCATATATCCAAAAGAATTTAAGTCAGTATCTCGAAGAGATATCTGCACTTTCATGTTTATTGCAGATTATTTACAGCAGCCAAAATAGGAAAACAACTGAAATGTACATTAACAAATGAATACCTCACACTATATATGAAAATGTGGTATATTATTCAACCTTAAAAAAGAAGGAAATCCTGTCATTTGCAACAGCTTGGGTGAGTGTGGAGGACATTATACTAAATGAGATACAAACCAAGAAAAACAAATACTATCTCATCTCATTCATATGTGGAATCTAAAATCATCAACTCATGGAAACGGAGTGTAGAGTGGTGGCCGTCAGAGCCTGGGGCGGGTGGGGGAGGGTGGTGGGGTGGGGGGAGGAAATGGGGAGTTCCTGGTTGAAGGGCACAAAGTTTCAGTTATGATAGATAAAAAAGTTCTAGGGATCTAGAGCTAACAACACTGTTTTGTACCCTTAACATTTTTAAGAGGTTAGATCTTAAAGTAAGTGTTGTTGCCATAAAAATAATAATAAAAAGGGCAGGAGGAAACTTTGGGAAGTGATGGATATGTGCACATCCTTGATGGTGCTTTTGGCTTCATGGTGGGGACTTCTCCCCACACTCATCAAGTTGTATACACTAATTATATATATCTATAAGGCAACCATAAACAAAAGAACTCCTGCCATTTGTGACAATGTGGATGGACCCTGACAGCATTATGTTGAGTGAAATAAGTTAGAGAAAGACAAATAGCATAAGATCTCACTTATAGGCGGAATCTAAAGACACCAAATTCACAGATCCGGAGAACAGGCTGGTTGTTAGAGGCAGGAGGTGGGGGATGGGGGAATGGGTGAAGGCGGTCAAGAGCTACAAATTGCCGTTAAAAATAAGTCATGGGATGGAATGTACAGCACAGCGGCTGTAGGCAACAATACTGTATTGTATATTTTAATGTCACTAAGAGAGTAGATCTTTAAAAGTTCTCATCATAAGAAAAAAATGTAACCATGTGAGGTGACAAATATTGACTAGACTTACTGGGGTCATTCTGTTGTATATACACAATCAGTATGTTATGCATCGTGGACTAATACAAAGTTAATGTCAATCATATCTCAATAAAGTGGTAAAAATGTTGCCAAGAACATTTTTTAAAAATTAAAATTAAATGTTAAAAAAATTCATTCTAGAAAAAACTATCCATAAAACAATGATAGCATCTAACATCAAGGTAAATAAGAGATTGGATATCATAAACTACTCTTGAATTTTGTATGAACTCTGA